GTTTTTTTTTTTTTTTTTTTTTTTTTTTTTTTTTGCACAGGGCCCAGGAGTGAACCTGGGCCCTTGGCGGTGAGAGCACAGAGTCCTAACCACTGGACCGCCAGGAATTCCCTGAAAACATGTTTTTAAATGGCAGTTAGGCCTCTAATTAAGTTAAAATTCATTGTAAAGTGTAACCCCAGAAGGCCCAGGTTACTCAAGCCCTTACGTTCCCAAGAAAAGCCTGTCTCGGGAAGACTGGTCCTTGTCCCACTCCTGGGAGAGCACCACAAAGAGCCTGGCGTGTTCTGCCTAGTAGGGTATTTCTGTAATCCAGGCACCTCTGTTCCATCTGATCAGGTGCTTCATGCTAATGGTGTGACGTATGGTGAGGGTCTGTTTTGTATGTCTGAGGCCCTCGGCTGTGTTAGTTTGACATCCGGGGGCTGTAGACCGAGTAGCTAAAGTGAGTGACATGGAAGCTGCATGCCTGCATGACTGACCTCCAGTCAAATCTCTGGACCCCTAGGCATGGGTGAGCTTCCCTGACTGGCAACACTTTGCATGTGTTGTCACACATCATTTCTGGGAGAATTAAGCATTGTCCATGTGACTCCTTTGGGAGACGACAACTGGATCTCACCACTGGTTTGCCCTGGACTTCACCCCTGCACCTTTTGCCTTTGCTGATTTTACTTTCACTGTCATAAATCCTAACTATGTGTATGGGACTTCCCTGGTGGTCCAGTGGTTAAGACTCCATGCTCCCAATGCAGGGGGCCCGGGTTCGATCCCTGGTCAGGGAACTGGAGCCCGCATGCCACAACTAAAGAGCCCATATGCCTCAACTAAGACCTGGTGCAGCCAGATAAATAAATAAATAAATAAATAATTTCTTTTAAAAATAATAATAATTCTGTATATAACAGCTCAGCAGGACTCACAGACTCTGAAAAGAACTAACAGCTTTTCTGAGTTCCGAGTCCTAGGGAATCTTCAAGCCTGAGGGTGGTCCTGGGGAACCCGAACATACTGTTGCTGTAGATTCTGAGGTTGGTTTGTTTCAACCATCCCAGTGGGTGGACCTCATGAACACGGTGTGACTCCGCCCCGAGCAGTACACTTGCTTGGTTTTTGTGCGGAGGTTGCAGACCTGAGGAGCAGCAGCCGGAGGGCACTGCTGTGATTTTCCCGCCTCCGAGGAGCAGAGGTCCTGAGTACTTGCAGTGGGCAGCAGCTGAGGGAGCTTGCTTTCTTGCTGTGGTGCAGGGTTCTGCTGAGGGTCCCTGGTACCTTCCTCTTTCTGGAAGTCTTCCCTGCAGTGACTGAGGTGACAGGTCCATCAAGCAATGTCTTGATGACGTTCTGCTCTTTGAACTGCGTGAGTTCCTGTAGGAAAGGGAAGGCCAGTTGCAAGTGTTCATCTCCTGCTGCACTGCATCGCTGTGTGTGCCACTGCCTCTGCAGATTTCCCACAGGCAGGAGAGTGTGCAGAGTGAATGGGGTTGGAATAGACAAAATGGGAATCCACCCCAGGGAACTGGTTGATGGCTCCAAAATGGTGGCATGAAGCCAATCACATGACTGTCAGGTGGCACAGAGTTTAAAGCTTCAGTCTTTGGATGACTGTGTCTGTTAGTTGAGAAGTGTGTGTACCACAGTAAACCCCAAAGGAGGAAGACTTCAGCTAGCTGATGACGATTCTACTTTCAAGGTCTCTCTGTTATTGAAGGATGTCGTAATAAGCCAGAGTATAATAATATGTACTGTGGGAAACAGGCAGGAGAGTATGTAGCGTGAGTAGAGCTGCAGTTTTCAGAAATGAAAGCCCTTTCCTCTTGTGCCCCTCTCTTCAGTCATTTTGCTGTACTACTCATGCGTAATAAGCCAGAGTATAATAATATGTACTGTGGGAAACAGGCAGGAGAGTATGTAGCGTGAGTAGAGCTGCAGTTTTCAGAAATGAAAGCCCTTTCCTCTTGTGCCCCTCTCTTCAGTCATTTTGCTGTACTACTCATGTCCTATGTTGATATCACTATCTCATCTGAATTTAACAGTGGTTTTTGCCAGATGTCTTACCACTGGTTAATATATTAAAATTATTGCCTGTAGCCAAATGTATTTTTATACTTCTGCTTGCTTCAGTTATTTTTGTACAAGTTTCCTGTTGATTTGTAATGTAGTAGCACAAAACAAATTCTTAATGTCCATCTCCATTGTGAATTTCACATGCTAAACCAAGAACAACCTATAGGGCTTCCCTGGTAGTGCAGTGGTTAGGAATCCCCCTGCCAATGCAGGGGACACGAGTTCGAGCCCTGGTCCAGGAAGATCCCACATGCCGCGGAGCAACTAAGCCTGTGCTCTAGAGCCTGCGAGTCACAACTACTGAGTCCGTGTGCCACAAGTACTGAAGCCCACGTGCCTAGAGCCCATGCTCCACAACAGAAGAAGCCACCTCAATGAGAAGCCTGTGCACTGCAACGAAGAGTAGCCCCCACTCACCACAACTAGAGAAAGCCTGTGTGCAACAATGACCCAACGCAGTCAAAAATAAATAATTTTTAAAATAATAATAATAAGATG